GGCCCCGATAGGCACAGGCCCAGTCACGAAGAGAGCAGGCCTTGGGCCTGAAGTGGTTGCATGCGCCCAACTGCTTTCGGCCTGTGTTTGGCCCGGTACCCGTATCCAGCCCAGGGCCTGCTTCACATTCATTTACACAGGCGGCCCAGGGCCTGGATTCATTCAACCAACTGGCGCAACGCAACTGTCTGAATTTCCCCGATGCGGGGTACCCTGAAGAATGAGGCCCGAAGGGCCTGTCGTGCCTGCCTTCACTTAGGGCGGCCGACCTTGTTGCAGATAGGGCCYCGTAGGGGCTAAGCGGGCGTAGCCTCGCATAGCGAAGCACTGGCCAAATTTTCCCATTTTACTTGGTCTTTTTCTTGACGGCACACTTCGACCCCATGGGGGTAATGAAATGCTGCCGAAATTTTCAAAAAATTCCAAACCCTAGTTTCTCTTCACTCTCCTCCACCTCCTTATTTATTTATCTATTTACTCATTTATTTATTATTTATTTATTTTCGTGAAAATTTTAATTTGCGGCATTTTGAAAGTTAGTGTGCTCCTTTTGCTCTTTCCTTCCTCTTGGCACATTTTTGACCCCATTTGGGGTGGGAAAATGCTGCCGCAAATTTAAAAAAAAAAAAATACTCTCTCTCTCCTCACTCTTTACATTTTATTTATTTATTTATTTCTAATTATTCTTTTATTTTATTTTTATTTCAAAAATTCATTGTTTATCAACTTTATTCTATTTTCTCTACCCCCTCCCCTCTATAGTTATTATTTTTTTTTCTTGATTAGGTCGCCGCTACCCTCCCCTGACCACCTAAACTCCGGTTAGGGTTTTCTTAGGTTTTTTCTAGGGTTTAGGGTTCTCCTAAACCCCCCCATACTCTCCCACCTCCTCCCTTCGGGCACCCTGGATGTGGCATACTGCGTAGCCACACGGGCCCTGCAGGGCCCGTCCCGGATTCTCAACCTAAAAGCCTAGAAAATAGGGCTTACAGGCCCCATGTCGTTTCATCCTGAAACTGAAAACGAGGGCTTGTAGGCCCTATCTCGTTTTCAGCCTATATCAGGGCTTTTCAGCCCAAAGGCTTTTCAGTCTGAAACGGAGGGCCACTTTCGGGCCCTCATAAGATCGACCTACCCTAAACCTCAGGCACAAAACCAGGGTTTTCGGAACAGGCTATCTTTAGCCTGTTCCCACGACTGCCTTGAGCAGGAGCTGCAGCGGCAGCCCCTGACTGCCTTTGGCATTGGCAAGAGCAGCCTCCTGGACTGCTGCCTCGCCTGCAGCCAGTCCAGGCCGAGTAGTACATAGGGTTTCCCATGCACTTCCCAGGTAGGTAGTTGGACAGTAGGACGAGTAGTCTTCAGGATTCGGCCGCAGCACTCAAGAGGAGCGCTGCCAGGAGTAGCTTAGCGCTAGCAGTAGTCTTCAGCGTTGGGCGCTAGTAGCCATTGCAGTGGTCTTCAGCGCTGGGCGCTAGTAGCCATAGCAGTAGTCTTCAGCGCTGGGTGCTAGTAGGTGGTAGTGGTAGTGTGGGAGAGAGATGGCTGGTGGAGGCCAGCGAGACTTACATGTGGCGCCATAGCTCCAGCTCCATCTTCGAGGTACCTGCATCAAGGCGCCATCTTCACAGGTTAGTACTGGACACAGAGAGAGAGAGAGTTCTTTTTCTTTCTCTTCTATGTCCACCATCTCTTCTTCCCCTCTCACCACCTGACTTCTCAGTATCAGCGGACTACTACAGAGTGAGAGAGAGTTGTGACTTGGGACTTGACGACATTGGATCCAGACTCGATATTTGGGATTCAGACATTTTGACGAGGGACTATTTGGGCCTGTGCTGAAGACTTGGTGTTGACGACATTCCCATCTTCCCCTCCTCTTCGTCTAACCCCCTTCTTCTTCGTCTGTGTATGGCTGGGGCTGGCGCAGTCTTCCTGTGTGAAGCGCCAGACCCCTTTCACACCATGGAACGATGATGATGATGTATGTTCAGGGCTGCATTGCAATATTGATTGCTCGGATCATTGGTATCTAAGTCTTCCGCTACGCTATCTTGTACTTTGTATTGAGAGGTCGGTTCTTGTTCTGGTCTGCACCGTTACAGTATGCAACAGTTTGGTATCGGAGCGGACCTCTCATTCAGAGGACCCGCTCAATCAAGTAGCCAGCTTGCTTGATCTATTTATTACTCATCAGTAAATCAAGGACTTCGTCAAATCTCTGAATTTTTTTTTTTTCTCGCAACAACTATCTGAAATTTCTGATATTCGCATTCGTTTTACCTGAAAATTTATGATATTGGTATTTTGTTTTTACGTAACAAATATCTGAAAATTTCTGATAAATCGCATTTCGTTTTGTCTGAAAATTCCTGATAAATAGCATTTCGTTTCTCTGATATTTCGCATACATAGCTGAAAATTTCTGATGTTAGTATTCGTTTTCTAGGCATATTGGGATAACGATAGAAGTGGTCATATTCTTGGAAACCGGAATTATTCTTTTCTAAAAATCGAATTTCCATTCTATCTCGCAAATTTTTTTTTTTTTTCAAAACCGAAATCTTGCGAAGCCAACGGCTCCGGGACCAGATGCTGGTGGTTCCAGCAGTGCACCCTCTAACCGTCAACTAGAGGAACGAGTCGACCACGTCGTCGCAATGCTCGGCGACATCAGCACCTTCGCTGCGCCAACCACCATCAGCAGTCAGCTAGATACCTTGAAGACCGAGGTCCAGCAACTGCAGTTGCCGAACAAGGAAGGCAACAGCACAACGCATTACAAGATGCCAACTTTCCAGATTGAAAAGTTCGATGACTACACGCATCAAGACCCGGTACTTTGGTGGGAAGGCTTTACGGCGCAACTGCGGATTCTGTTCGTCGCCATGCACGCGTACATCGGCGCCCTGTTTCTTAACTCAAAAGGCGGATGCCAGATCTGGCTAACCCGCCTAGCATCCACCCACGGCGTCAACGTCGCGGATCTGAAGACAAGATCTCATGGGAAGAGTTAACACGGCTGTGGAAGAAGTGGTTCATCGTGGACGACGCACCTGCACTCGCCATCAACCGTCTCTTCAACATGACACAAGGCAACACAGCAACACGTGACTGGCTCACGGAATGACAGAAGATCGCGGCAACGCCCGATCTCGACTTGCCATTTACACATCTGCGCCGTGAGTTCTACAACAGGTCATGCGCTGCATTGAGCCTTGCTCTTGGCGATCGCGAGCAGTATGCAACCTTCGCTGAGATCATTGACAAGGCAAGGGAGATCATCAAGACCAACAGGGCGGCTGCACACGAGAGATCAACATGGCAGCCGACCTATGTGGAGAAGGTAAAGACTGGTCCGCGGCCGCAGCATGTCGCTGCAGTCCAATCGGACAGTGGATAAGACCTGGCAGCCGCCCAAGCATCACGTGAGGGAGATCAGGTGGTTGTTGTCCAGCCGCGAAGCAACAACAAGTCCCGAGGTAATGGGAAGGCGAAATCAGCATCGCAGGTCAGGAACGGACAGCCAGTACCGTGGGTCAAGTTCAACTTGAACGAGGTCGAGTACAAGTACCGCGACCGTTACGGCTGCTGTTACTGGTGCAACAACACCAAGCACAAGACCTCCCTTGCCAGGATCAGCCAAGGAGGATATGCGGCCTCGTCTTAGCTCGGGAAACTGAGTTCCACAGGAGGTGAGGCGACTCCACCTCCCACTCTGCCAGATTCGGCCGCCTTGCTAGCGGCCTCCTACACATCTGGGGAGGATGCGAATGTCATAAGTTCTCGGTATACTTACGAGGACTATGCTGTCCACTTGGTCCCACCGTTGGACCAACCGCTCCACGTGCAACAATCTACCGCATGCACGGTTTCATCACCATCGGCAACCGATTCGGCAGCTTCGCCGCAATCTATTGCCAGGGATTCGATGTCATGGTCAAAACTTGAAGAGCTCAACCCGTTGACGTTCACAGACTTCCAGTGGATGCCCGTTCCCCCGACCGGTCGATTGCCGAAACCGCATTGCAACGTGCTCATGGCACAATTGCGGGATAACTTGCACACTGCAGTACCGACTCCGTTGATGGACGCCGGAATAGAGGTTGTCGACCTTCACGCCTACATTGTGAAGATCGACCGCGAGCTCAAGACGCAACGGTACGACGACATCGACGCAATGGTACAACGACATCGACACACCGTTGCTATATGTACGCATTCAGATCAGAGAAGCGACCTGCAGCGCTTTGATCGATTGCGGAGCATCTCGCAACTACATCAGCCAGGACTTCATGGTGCGCGCCGGCCTTGTCCGGAGGAAGCCCCAGCCTACGCAAGTCGCGTTGGCGGACGGTCACACGCACAAGTCAATCGACCGGTGCATTGATGACGTCCCAGTGTACTTTGCCCCTCACGCAAGTGAGGCGGTGTCCTTTGACATTCTGGACACCAAATTTGACATGATCTTGGGCATGTCATGGCTGCGAAGCGAGGATCACCCGGTGAACTTCTACCACCGCACCGTTCACATTCGTGATCAGAACGGAGTACTAGTCCCATGCACGGTGCCTCTTCCTCATCCTTCGATCAACTGCCACGTGGTATCCGCCGCAAGCATGCGAGCTTCCATCATCAGAGACGACATCGAGGAGATGGGGGTGTGTTTTCTCCACGGCCTCCGCCCCATGACGCTTCATCGACGGACTCTTCTTCGGATCCACGCATCACCGAGCTTCTCGACGCCTACGGCGACGTGTTCGAAGGCCCGCACGGAGTAGTACCGGATCGGCCCATCCGCCACGAGATCATCCTCGAGGACGGGGCCGTACCTCCGCGCGGTTGCATCTACCGAATGAGCGAGGAAGAGTTAAGTGTGCTTCGGGCACAACTCGACGACCTTCTGGAGAAAGGCTGGATTCGACCTAGCTCATCGCCATACGGTGCTCCTGTTCTCTTCGCCCGGAAGAAGAACAAGGATTTGCGGTTGTGCATCGATTATCGCAAGCTCAACGAGCAAACGATCAGAAACGCCGGCCCTCTCTCACGCATCGACGACCTTCTCGAACGACTGGGCGGCGCCAAATTCTTCTCCAAGCTTGATCTCAAGTCGGGATGTCACCAACTCGAGATTCGACAGGAGGATCGCTACAAGACCACGTTTAAGACGCGATATGGGCATTTCGAATGGCTGGTTATGCCATTTGGCCTTACGAATGCCCCGGCCACCTTCCAAGCGGCTATGACAACGGAGTTCCGACACATGCTGGATCAATACGTACTTATTGACCTCGACGACATCCTGGTGTACAGCCGGAGTTTGGACGAGCATGTGGAACACCTGCGCACCGTTTTGGAGCGGCTACGACAGGCCAAGTACAAAGCCAACCGCGACAAGTGCGAATTCGCGCGGCAGGAGCTGGAGTACTTGGGACATTATGTGACGCCGCAAGGCATCCGTCCGCTTGCGGACAAGATCGAGGCCCTACGAGTATGGCCCGAGCCCACCAACACCACGGACGTTCGTTCATTCATGGGATTGGTGGGCTACTATCAGCGATTCATCACCGGATACTCGAGGATTGCTGCACCTATGACGAGATTACAATCGCCAAAGGTGCCATTCGTATTCGATGACGACGCACGCCGGTCATTCCAAGCACKTAAGAMGRCTATGCTCATGGCACCCGTCCTTAGCATCTATGACCCCACCCCGCCGACGAGAGTGACTACGGACGCTTCCGGCTATGGCATTGGGGCAGTCTTGGAACAGCACGACAGCGACGACTGGCACCCTGTGGCGTATTTCAGCCACAAAGTGCCTCCCATAAACTCGCTTGATGATGCAAGGAAGAAGGAGCTGCTTGCATTCGTGATGGCTCTCAAGCGCTGGCGGCACTTCCTCCTTGGGCGTCGTAGGTTCACATGGGTCACAGACAACAATCCATTGACCTACTACAAGACGCAGGATACGGTGAGCAACGCGATCGGACGATGGATGTACTTCATCGACCAATTTGACTTCACACTGAAACATCTTCCCGGCCTCTCCAATCGCGCAACAGATGCACTCTCGCGAAGACCTGATCTTTGCGCTATGACACATCATGCCTTTGCATTTGACGAGGAGCTCCAGCGACACTTCATTAGGGGCTACGAGTCCGATCCAGACTTCGCCACGCTATATGCGCAGCTATCTTCGGATCACCCGCCGGCCAGCCACTATCGCATCGCCGATGGGTACTTGCTCCTACACTCGCGGGGCAAGGACTTACTATGTGTCACACGCGACCGCCGTCTTCGAACTCGCCTCCTCGGCGAGTATCATGATTTGCGACTCGCCGGCCATTTCGGAGTCAACCGCACTATTGCACGGCTTCGACAGCGATTCCGATGGCCTGACCACATCACCGATGTCACGAGGTATTGCGACTCTTGCGAAGTTTGCCGACGAAGCAAACCCCGCAACCGCAACCCCTCCGGCGAGCTGCGCCCGATGCCGATCCCGCAGGAACCCGGTCTCTCCATTGCCATGGATGTCACCGGACCATTCCCCCTCGACCGCCTCGGACACGACGACATTCTCACGGTCGTGGACCGATTGAGTAAGTACGCGCGTTTTCTCCCTTGCAAGTACTACTCCACGGCTCCCGAGCTGGCACGCCTCCTGCACACCAGCTCGATTTGTGGCCATGGTGTAGCGGAAGACATAGTCAGCGACCGCGACACTCGCTTCATGTCGGCATTTTGGACTGCACTCATGCAAGAGTCCGACACGAAGATGAAGCCAAGTTCGGCTCGGCATCCACAGACAAACGGGCAGACGGAGCGGGCACATCAAACCGCTCAAATGATGCTTCGTACGCTCATCCGTCCGGACCAGAAAGATTGGGTTGACCGCCTCCCCGACATCGAGTTCGCCTACAACACTTCGGTGCATCCGGCGATCGGAGTGACTCCATTCGAGTTGCACCACGGTGGACGGAAAGGCCATATCTTCGCCGACCTTCTCCTCCCACAACCAGCCGACATCGATACCGCTTGCTCTCCCGCTTTTGTCCAGAACTACAGGGAATTGCTGGCTCAAGCCCGCGCGAATATGCAAAAGGCTCAAGTCCGCATGCAGCAGCAAGCCAACAGGCATCGCGTGCCATGTCCCATCCGCGCCGGCGACCTGGTTTGGGTTTTCGCGGAAGAGTTTGCACTGGAACAGGATGTCTCACGCAAACTGCTTCCCAAGTGGTTTGGACCATGTGCCCGTAACATCAGCCGCGGGCGATGAGCCCGATGGCCCTTCATTTGTGATCAACATGCCCCCGCATCTGATGGTCCATCCAGTCTTTCACGCCTCAAAGCTGGCAACATACACGCCAGCTAAGAGCGACGACTTCCCGGGCCGACGATCGCAGGACCCTCCTTCTATGGATGGTCATTAGGAAGTTGACCGCGTCATCACCGATCGCAAGTACGGCAGCAAGACGGGACAGTACAAAGTTACATTCAAAGCCTGCGATCGCGACGACACTCGGTGGATTTCAGGAGCAGATTTGAAAGCATCCGTACCGCTGGTCTACGCGCATTATGAGAAGCAAAGGTTAGCTCATGAAGCTTCACGACCGGCCCCTCCCACCCGGACTGTGGTCCCTCCCTCAGACAAACAGCTTCGCCCTCGCAGGTAAGCTTGGTCTTTCAAGGAGGGGGGGGGTGTGGCATACTGCGTAGCCACACGGGCCCTGCAGGGCCCGTCCCGGATTCTCAACCTAAAAGCCTAGAAAATAAGGCTTACTTGCCCCATGTCGTTTCAGCCTGAAACTGAAAACGAGGGCCTGTAGGCCCTATCTCGTTTTCAGCCTACATCAGGGTTTTTCAGCCCTGAGGCTTTTCAGCCTGAAACGGAGGGCCACTTTCGGGCCCTCATAAGATCAACCTACCCTAAACCTCAGGCACAAAACCAGGGTTTTCGGAACAGGCTATCTTTAGCCTGTTCCCACGACTGCCTTGAGCAGGAGCTGCAGCGGCAGCCCCTGACTGCCTTTGGCATTGGCAAGAGCAGCCTCCTGGACTGCTGCCTCGCCTGCAGCCAGTCCAGGCCGAGTAGTACATAGGGGTTTCCCATGCACTTCCCAGGTAGGTAGTTGGACAGTAGGACGAGTAGTCTTCAGGATTCGGCCGCAGCACTCAGGAGGAGCGCTGCCAGGAGTAGCTTAGCGCTAGCAGTAGTCTTCAGCGTTGGGCGCTAGTAGCCATAGCAGTAGTCTTCAGCGCTGGGCGCTAGTAGCCATAGCAGTAGTCTTCAGCGCTGGGCGCTAGCAGCCATAGCAGTAGTCTTCAGCGCTGGGCGCTAGTAGCCATAGCAGTAGTCTTCAGCGTTGGGCGCTAGTAGGAGGTAGTGGTAGTGTGGGAGAGAGATGGCTGGCGGAAGCCAGCGAGACTTACCTGTGGCGCCATAGCTCCAGCTCCATCTTCGAGGTACCCGCATCAAGGCGCCATCTTCACAGGTTAGTACTGGACACAGAGAGAGAGAGAGTTCTTCTTCTTCCCCTTCTATGTCCACCATCTCTTCTTCCCTCTCACCATCTGACTTCTCAGTATCAGCGGACTACTACAAAGAGAGAGAGAGTTGTGACTTGGGACTTGACGACATTGGATCCAGACTCGACATTTGGGATTCAGACATTTTGACGAGGGACTATTTGGGCCTGTGCCGAAGACTTGGTGTTGACGACATTCCCATCTTCCCCTCCTCTTCGTCTAACCCCCTTCTTCTTCGTCTATGTATGGTTGGGGCTGGCGCAGTCTTCCCGTGTGAAGCGCCAGACACCTTTCACACCATGGAACGATGATGACGATGTATGTTCAGAGCTGCATTGCAATATTGATTGTTCGGATCATTGGTGTCTAAGTCTTCCGCTACGCTATCTTGTACTTTGTATTGAGAGGTCGGTTCTTGTTCTGGTCTGCACCGTTACAGTATGCAACACTGGACCCGAACAACTCCTCTCCCCTCGACCGGATTCGCGCCACCATCTCATGCGCGACCCGCTGGTCATGGGGCGGGCTGACCCACGACTGCCCACTCCGCTCTCGCGGTCCCCTCCCTCTCACCGGTGGTCCCCTATCCTCATACCACAACCCATATCTCCCCCCACCTCCCACCATGTCTACTTCTCCTCCTCCACTGCCAATGAAGAGTGCCACAACCGAGGAGATCGCCGCGGCGCAGTCCACATCCCAGGTCACCGCGCAGTCAACGGCTCATGATCAGGCCCATGCGGACACAACGAACCTTCATGTCGTCCTTGTAGCAATCCAGGGACAACTTAGTACGCTTGGACCATCGCAAGCACAAATCAATGCGCTTGGCCTTGACGTCAACCGCCTCAAGGGCTCTCCCCACCGCTCTCCCCTCCACTTTCACACCCCATCCCCTGCCGGCTCACTGGCCGGTTCCCCACGACTCCGACGACATGGACGTGGTGGTTCTTCCTCCCCTGTGGCTCAGACCAAGCACTCCCACTCAGCAGTGGTGAGTGTCGTTGCCGCTCAAACCACACTGTCTGTTGTGGCACCTCCTTTGGCCCCTGCCGCCCCTACCGTCTCTACTGCTGCCACAGGTGTTGTGGTTCAGATACCACCATCTGGCCCAACAGTTTCATCGACCCACATCGGTGCTGCTTCCCAGCTTCCCGCATCGGTCGCGGCATTACGACTCCGCCCTCTTCTTCCCGCCTTCGTTCCCCTACCTCCACAGCAAGGTACCACCCAGGTTGGGACTCCTCCCACTGGGAGACCCGCTCCGCCTCCTCCATCTCCAGCCCCTCGCACCCAGCGAGTGGCCACTTTACAGGCCACCATGGCGCAGGCTCAGGCGGAGATCCTGGGCCCGAATGCTGCTCACCCTTCTCCTTCCTCTACCACCTCCTCGACCCCCATCATAGCAGCTCGTTTCCCTCGACCGGCTCCTCAACCTCTCCCCTCTTACCTAGCCATTCCAGGACAGCTGCCCACGACCGATGCCTCCTCGTCTGCTGTTCCATCCACCAGCGGCCACGGCCCACAACCTTCCCCCACCTCTGCCCCTGCAACGGCCCCGACTTACGCTGCCGCAGTGCACTCGCTTCGATCTCTCTCCCCCCGCCATCAGCACAGTGGACATCCTCCTGTGCGCACCTCGGACATTCCTGAGCATGATGGCACATCCCATGTCTCTCGCTGGTTGCAGATAGCAACGCGCACACTCTCGCTAACGACCACCCGTCAGGAGCAGTGGTGCGATGTGCTCGCAACCAAATTGCGAGGCTGTCTGTCCATTGCGTGGGAGGATCATTATACCCAGCACCTCCGCGTGGGTGAGGTCCCCACTCTGGCCGACTTCGTGGCCTTCCTTCAGGACTGCTTTGGCGCTCGACATGACGCCACTGACGCCTTAGACCGCGTCACCCAGACCAAATGGTCCGGGTCCTCTGTACCGGCCGACCTGGAGCGTCACATCCGGGTGTTTCAGGACGCTCGCCTTGTTTGTGACGAGACGTTCCTACCGGAGATCACACTCACCGACCTGTTCCTCGTCAGCCTGCCTATGGCGGTGATCATACTCTTCCGCGGAGCAGGCATACGAGGCTGCTCGTCAATACCAGAGGATGTGCAGTCACTTCTCCGTCTCCCCATCCTCTTTGCGGCCAGCCGCCACCTCCCAGTCTCGTGGTACCACCAGAGGCCGCTCCTCCTTTCCTAGTCGTTTTCGCCGCCCGGCTCGACCTGGAGCGCCATTCTCTCGGCACTACAGTTCTCTCGAGTATGGAGAGGACGCCTCAGCCGAGCTCGACCCTACCATTGGGGACGCCCCCAAGGATATCGAGCTTCGGGACGTCATCCGGTACCACTTGGATGACGACACTGTCGCGGTGGCCGAGCACCTACAGATGGCCATGTCTACCATGGGTTGTGCGCGTAGTCGGGTTGCACAGGCTGGCGCCCGTACACCCACACTTCCTCAGATACACCTCCCGCAGGGTTTTGTCCCTCCTCGCGGAGCTCTATCCCCTGAGGAGCGTGCCGCCCTTGAGGCCCGGTGCGGCTGCCTTCGTTGCCGCCTGGATAGACACACCTCCTCGCGGTGTCCATACCATACCGCCCTCGATCGGCACTATGCTGACATCTCTCGTCAGCGTCGATCTCAGTCCCCCCCCGGCCCCACCCGGCCAGCCCCACCCGGCCAGCCCCACCCAACTAGCCACGGTGCAGCGTACCACTGAGGCCTCACACGTAGCCGGCTTCCCGACCACCGAGTCGCGGTTTGCCCCTTTGGCTACCCCCCCAGAGGATCCTCAGGACACGACATACGCAGTTCCCTCTGCCCCGTCGTCTGTTGAGGTACCGCTTGCCTCACAACAGACCGCCACATCTAGTGCTTCCCCTCCGAGACTTCCGACGTGTCTCGCCATTCGCACAGCCCGTTGTAGCGCTCAACTGGCGACTCGCGATGACGTTGTGTCATCTCTCCTGGACTACAACATTCTTCAGGCTCGTCAGGAGCGACTCACGAGACACATCAACGTCCTGCGTCGTCTTCTCGCTCTGCTTTCTGACCCTGATCGCACCCTATCCATTATCCCTATTCGCCTAGGGACATCTACGAGGGTGTACCACACTTTATGGGACTCTGGCTCGCAGGGAGATTTCGTTCACCCTCCAGTGGTTGAGGAAGCTCGCCTAGCTACCTCTGGGTCTCACTCTCCTATCTCTGATACCCTCGGAGATAACAAGAAACAGCGCTTCTTCGATCAGACGGTCCCCGACCTCCATTTCTCCCTCACCCTCCAGCCACCGGATAGTACCCAGGCGCCTCAGCACTACCATTCCTCCGCATACTTCGACGTGTTGGAGACCGGGTACGACTTTATCCTTGGCACTCCCTGGTCTCGCCGGTTCCGTGGCACAGAGGCCGAATGGGCGACCGAGACACTTTATCCTTCGAAGTGTGGTCAGACCCATCGCATCCCCTTCATTGGAAGCACGGTCGACACCCCTCCCGACCTACCTCCCCAGGACCCTCGTTCCTCAGGGTCCCACCCCGACATCACCTTCACTTCCCCTCATCAGTTTGCTCATTTCATACGACAGGAGGACGTCACGTTCTACTTCGCGAACGTGATGGATCTTCTTCGCTATGATCCACTCTGTCCCGAGGTTGAGCTCATCTCTCTGGAGCCCGATCCCCCTGACCCTTCCTCCATCTTCGCGGCTCTCATCTCTACGTCCACCCGTCACCCTGCGGATACCCCCTCCACGTCCCAGGCCCCCACGCCTTCGACTATCGAGTCCACACATACGTCTCGTGCTGACGCAGATATTGAGGAACTCACACGGTTCACGACAGACTTAGAGCCCGTCGTTCGCAACCTGATTCGAGAGTACCGCGACGTCTTCCCTTCGTATTTCTCATACAGCGGGATCCCTCCGATGTGCGGTGTTGAGCATTCTATCCAGCCCGTGCCTGACTATCGTGTTCACCATCAGGCACCGCACCGACTCTCGATTCCAGAGGCGATGGAACTCAAGTGTCAGCTTGAGGAGCTCCTTCAACTAGGTTTCATTAAACCCATTAACTCCCCTTGGGGTGCACCCGTCCTCTTTGCTCGAAAAACGAACGGAACACTCCGCCTCTGCATCGACTACCGCGGCCTTAACCGTTACACGGTTAAGAACAACAATCCCATGCCCTGCGCGGATGAGCTGTTTGACCGCCTGGCAGGCAACCGCTTCTTCACGAAGATCGATCTTCGTAGCGGTTATCACCAGATCCGTGTTGCTGCAGAGGATCAGCCCAAGACCGCCTTCCGATCACGCTTCGGCCACTACGAGTTCACGGTGATGCCATTCGGCCTCACCAATGCACCCGCCACCTTCCAGACAGCAATGAACGACATCTTCAGGGACATCCTTGAAGAATACGTTCTCGTATACCTGGACGACATCTTGGTTTAAGTCATACCTTAGAAGACCATATTAGACACCTCCGCGGTGTCCTATAGCGCTTACGCAAGCATGGCTTCTATGCCAAGCTTAGCAAGTGTCGCTTTGCCCAGCGCAAAGTGGACTTCCTAGGACACCATGTGTCTGACCAGAGCCTCCACATGGACGACGCGAAGATCACTGCTATTGCAGAGTGGCCCGTCCCCACATCTGCCAAGCAGCTTCGCAATTTCCTAGGCCTCACCAGCTACTATAGTAATTTTATCCAGGGATACGGTAGGTATTCCTACGTCCTTACCTCCACCCTCCTCCGGAAGAACCCACTGTGGTTTTGGACACCCCTCTACAAGGACGCCTTCCGCGCCCTCAAGAAGGCGGTGACTTGTGCGTCGGTTCTTCGCCTCCCAGATTTTGATAGCCCCTTCATCGTCACCACTGATGCGTCAGATTTTGCAATAGGAGCAGTCCTCGCTCAGGTGTTTCCCTCTCCTCCTGATTCACCTTATCCCCATGTTCCTCCTTTCACCCCCCCTCCTGCTGACACTGCATTCGATTGACGCCTATCCTCCCATCACTTCCCTCCACTGACAGTCCTCCCATTACTTACTCCCCGACCATCACGAAGGATGGGACTGTTGAGGCTTGTGCTGGGGATTGCCCAATTGCCTTCTACTCCCATTAGCTACTACCTGCCGAGATAAACTACATTGCCCATGAACGTGAGGTTCTCGCAGTAGTTTATGCTACCCCGCATTGGCGTCATTACCTGCACGGGGCGCCCTTCACGGTGCGCACGGACAACTCAGTTATCCAGGCTTTCCCCTCGACATGCACGTTGGTGGCGTGACTTATCCGAGTTCAGTGTCACCACTCAGCCCATCAAGGGTGAAACGAACCGCGTCGCCGATGCCTTGTCCCGTCGTCCTGATCACAATCAGGAACCCATCCATCTTGCTGCCATCTCCATCACCATTGTTGATCAGTTGGTGATCGACACATATCGCACCCAGTACCGTCACTGCCCGGATTATCGCGTTATCCACGCGACACTGCGGAGCGGCAAGACCGTTCCCTCATACTCCCTTGGTGAGAACGTTCTCGTGTACTGGCATGGCACATCTGGTCAGCTCGAACCACATATCTGCGTTCCCTCCACCGGACAACTCCGTGTCCAGGCTGTAGCAAAGTTCCATGACCAGGCAGCTGCCGGTCATATGGGCTTCCACAAGACGTTGGCTCGTGTTTGCCTCCTATACGTCTGGCCGAAGTCCAAGGACTTCGTCAAAGCCTACATCCAGGAGTGTCCTACCTGCCAGGAGGTGAACAATGCGAACCACCTTCCGTATGGGTTACTTCAGCCCTTGCCCATACCAGAGGGTCGTTGGCAGTCCATCTCAATGGATTTCATTGGTCCCCTCCGCCCACCTACTGAGCGCGGTCATGGTGCTATCTTGGTCGTCGTCGATCGCTTCACGAAGTGTGCACGTTTTGTCTCGTGCCGCTATCGCATTAGCGCCCGTGAGGTCGTCGACATCGTCTTCGACCGAGTCGTGAAAGATCACGACTTACCTTAGAGCATCATCTCTGATTGTGACCCGCGATCGCACTTTTTCTAGTCGGGCCCCTTCAGGCGACCAGAAAGCCAACAGGCTGTCATGCAGGATTTTGGATGATATTTACAATAAATAAAATAAATCAAATTAAAGAAAGAAAATCCCTTCCTGTTGTGTGCGTCCGGCTTCGAGCGAGACCCTTCAATTGCGGTCTTCGTCGGTCCCCGGTCTTAGGAATCTTTATTTTGATTCGGAACAGCAAGACCATGCAAATAGTTATCATAAAATTCTGGTATGTCGTGCATGCATCAATTCTGGCAATTTTCTACTTTTGAGAACCGTGACAGGACCATCATAAAGCATAATCATCAAACAACGTCAATGCAAACGATGCAGGTCTGACTGACTCAAGGCAAAGACAAGATCGATGATCATGTGAGAGAAGAGGAGAGCTCTTTATCGCATCAAGGCAACAAACGAACAGACAAACATAGAACCATTGTCACTATAGTCAGCTCTCTCTCTCCTCTCTGTAGATCGTGTCATACTCAAAGATCAGACAATGGTTAGTATGTTCTCCAATGATCCTTGAGCGAGTCCGCATAGTGCTGACCTGTACTTGAGAGAAGGCCTGCTACGGCCTGTATTTGATGATTATGCTCAGGTCATGAGTCTGCTCTGCTCAAGATATTTGTCATGCTCAAGAAGGTCTTTGTCTTGAGTCCACTGTCCTCAAAATACTTACTGGTCTTGAGACTACTTCCTTGTCACATGATCGGTCTTACTGAATACCGATGACACTCTCTGTGTTGTAGTTGCTTTCACCAGGAGAGTCTGCTATGACCAACACTATTGCTGTTGTCACCGAGATTGCCTGTTGTGACCAGTATCATTGCTGACCTCCCGCTGTGGCCAGCATTGTCGCTGCTGTCGCCGGAACTGTCCGCTGTGACCAGTGTCGTTGCTGCTATCACCGGAACTGTCCATTGTGACCAGCGTCGTCGCTGCTACCACCGGGACCTCCCGCTAAGGCCAGCATTATCGCTGTTGTCACCGGAACTGTCCGCTGTGACCAGCGTCGCCGCTGCTACCACCGGGACCTCCCGCTGTGGCCAGCATTGTCGCTGCTGTCACCGGAACTGTCCGCTGTGACCAGCGTCGCCGTTGCTACCACCGGGACCTCCCGCTGTGGCTAGCATTATGTTCCCTGGTAATGGAACCTACTGAGAGTAAGCTGAGACCATTGATTGAATCCACTGAGTCTGGACTCACTGAAACTGAAAATTAAACTCACTGAGATCAGGGTCACTGAGACAAAACTGAGAACTGAATGAAATCAAAGTTGGAGTGAACTCGCTGAGGTGAAGTTGAATTCACCGAGGCTGAAGTGAACTTACTGAAAACTAAATTGGACTCGAAAGATGAAACTGTTTTCACTSACCTTACTGAAACTGAATTGAACTTGTGGAGATTAGGTCCATTAGACCGAGCTCAATGAAACTGAGATGAACCCGCTGATACTGCACTAGGGATTGAACTGAGCATACTCTGCAAATCGCACTCAGATTTGAAGAGAACTGAACTGAGCTTGCACTGGAAATTGAGACTGAACTTATTGAAATTGATACGAGTCTGCTGAGACCAAACTGAACTTGCTAAGAACTGAACCGATCTTGAAAATGTGACGCTGACTTCACTGAGCGAGCTTAAACTGAATTGAACTCGAGGAGCGAAAAACTGATCTCACTGACTTTGAACTATTATAAATTCTTGCTGGAATATGACATTAAGCCGCTTTCAAATTTTATTCATCTTTGACTTGAAATAAATTTGAGGCTTTGTTGGAAAACACATATTGAGATTTGGAAAAACTATATAGAGATTAAGAACTGCCTTGAGTCTGAGAATTACACTGTGTTCTCTGAGTTGCACTGAGCTTCCCAATGTTCTCTGGGTTTCTACAGAGCCTTCTACTCTCAGCTACTTCACTAAGTTTCACTTTTACCTGAGCTTTCACCCTGTTTTCTTGCTCTTTAGGTTTTCACTGATTTCTGACACTATCCGGTTTTGAGGTTGATCAAACTTCCCAAGAAACACGGCGAAACATTGTCCTTATTCGAACCTCGTTCAAATAGTATATAACTTGCAACTTCTAAGCTCCCTGTTGAGTTGCTGCACAGGAGGATAACATATTCTTTGTCGTTCTATCCAGTCAAAACCGCCAATCGAGGGCAAATGACACTTCTTCCGAAAACGAGAAGTCCATCAAATATTATTCAGAGAACTGTTGCCGGTGGCTTCACTGGAAAAATAATGGTCTTCGCTCCACCATTTCTGCTTCTCTGCCCGCTATATATTTTAGCCCAACTAGCTGCTGGTTCTCAATGACAAAGCGGTATAGATACCCCTGATTGGCTTGCTGTGATATTGGTTAGCTAGTGTACCTGGTTAGTAATTCATACACAGATTCGTGTACTGAACTCAAGACTACCAAACAGCGTGAACCACGTGAGGCTGCACGAAAACCATACGGCTCCAACTCGATTCAAGTACTGTGTATAAGATCATACGGCTCGAACTTAGCTCGGATAACACCTGGGGGACTGTGCAGTTGAGTCCAACTTGAGTATGGCACGAGGAGCCGTACAGTTTGAACCCAGTTCAGGATTTGCACAAGAGTCCGTGCAGCTTGAAAACCTGTTCACTGGTTGCTCAAGTACAGAGTAAGGTACAATTAACACACTCGTCTGACAAGAGGGCGTGACGCAGCAAGCATTTCCACTCAATTTTAGTACAAGGAGTGACCTGCTCGTATATGCTTGAAAGCAGCTAGTTCCGCTGCATTGTAATAAAGGAAAATAAAATAAAATAAAATATAATTTACGGTGTCGGGCCAAATCCTGGTAGACTTTCGAGCCTTCGTCGACCCCCAGCGGGTCCCATTTGGCTCGACCCGCCCACGCTCAAGCTCAGGGTGCGGGTCATTCGTCCCAGGGCCACCCCCACCTAGTGCTTTGGTATGGATTGGGATGGGCCAATAGGGCAAGAGAGTTTGACATTGGGGATGTAGCTCAACCCTTGCATTGGGTGGTAGCCTCGCTGGTCAACTGTCGCAAGCGTAGATTCTCGATTCCTCGTTGTGTTCGCAAGCAATTGCTCCTTCCAATACCCAGGCAGTCCAGGGGCCTCATTGGAGATTTCTCTTCTTTCGTACGTAGGGCTAAGCGTTATCCTTAGGCCACGCACCATTTCCCTAACATCACAACAAAATTCCGGCATCATCGGGGCGCGGCCATGCCGTCCTTCCCCTAAGCCGCTACCATTTCCTTTGTCTAGCCCACACATTTCATTCACGATACCATTGCGGCCCTTAGTTTTTCGGGCGCCAATTTTGCATGCAACAACCAAGCCACACTCATACTATACAAAGCCATGCCCCTCTCTTCCTTTCCCTTTGCTCCCCTTTGGCCCTCCTCTAGCTTGCTTATCCTCATCCCAATCCTGCTCAAGTCATTCAGAGCTACTAACTTGCACAAGTCCCACACAAGCAAGGAACAACATCCATCCCCCATTGGGGTCAACGCATCGCCCTCCTGCAAGCCTAAGTCCTTTCCTCTTCCATGGTTCTTTCACCCTTTTCCTTTTTTCCCGCAGTCAAGCCATGCTCTTCCCTTAGTCATGCAGGCGGGGAAATGGTTGAGTCAACTGACCTTGCACAAAACTTGCACTTGTCTTCAGTTTTCTTTTCAACGATTCCACTTTTCCAAGTTCACAAGTCTTTCACTTTGCTCCTTCTTGGTGGCGCAAGGGACCTGCTGCCCTCCCCTTGCCCTCTTTCTCCACCAAGTGAGGCTGCCTCTTTTCACCGTTCGCCCCCTGGCAATGTAGCAAGTGAGGGTGGAGGTTAGTCACGTGTCAAGAGGAAAGGACGGGGAGGGAAAGGGTGAGGTTACTTGGGGTGCGCGGGAAGGGGGACGTCGATGAAAGAAGAAGCGGTGGACGAAGAGAAGGTACAAGGGAGGAGAGAGAGAGAGAGAGAGAGAGAGAGAGAGAGAGAGAGAGAGAGAGAGAGAGAGAGAGAGAGAGAGAGAGAGAGA